TATATATATATATATGCTTGTATATATAAAATGAAATAGCTATAGAACTAAATTATGCTGTTAATTTCATCAGGTGGAGGTGTAAACCACTCCAAATCATATAATTCAGTGGGTAAGGCAGATCTATTTGTTACCACCTCTATTTTTTTTTTTTTTAATTTAAAGCAGGAGTTTTCTCCATGGAGGCAAATTGCAAGATTAACCACAACCCCCTAAGCAGATCTAGTTGTAGAAAGTACAATTCCCTCACTGGGGACAAACAAGAACAATAAGAGAAAATCTATATTATACTGTTGAAAAATGCCTTTAAAATGTTATAAGGTCTTATTATATTTATGATTATCATAGAAATTATGCACAATTTCATGGATATCACAAATATTTTGTTCTCCTATGTGAAGATGATAATCCTAAACATAGCAATTGACTTCGGGGCTGGGAGAAGTGTTCTAAATCTACTGGATTCTTTATAACTTCCTGGGTATATAGATTGGTGAAGGTGGTGAAAATCTTTTACTACCATCATTATTGCAGCACAAAAATTTCTGGGAGGGTGGTAAGAAAATTAAGAAAAAGAGGGGGGCAGGCTTTAAACATGCAATATCTAAATCCTTTTTTTTTTTTTAATACATGACCATATGTCCTTTAACAATAAATCTGTGTGGCAAGCCAAGGAGGTGAGTTTCCCAAGACAGTCCTAATGTTACATCAGCCTTATTGTCAGTCCATGTGTCAAATCATGTGTTTGAAATTTGGGTTCAGAAAATTTCTCAATTGTCACAAATGTTTTCCCAGTCAAGATGAAACACTTTCAAAAGAAAGTAGTTAGAACTTTGCATAACAAATGTGGTGCTTTATTACTATTATTATATATTTCAGTGTTCATTATTTAAACTACTGCAATACTATATCATAAAAATCTGGGATGGATGTTCCAGCCATCATAAGGTCCAAAAGAGAAAATGTTATTTTCCGGTTAGTGATGTGTAGTCCCTTTGTTCTTGTAGGGAAAAAAGGTGCCTAGAGGTAGTACATAGAGTAAATATTGTTCCATTAGCCTTCTTCCTGCAGCTTCCAATTATCTAAGGAAACGTCTATAACAATTATGTTAAAAAATCTTTGTTCTAGTCAATAGCAGGAGAAGTCCACATTATTGGGCTGATCTTACATCGACAAGAGAAATGTCCCGTGATACTCCGGCTGCGCTTTCTCGTCCATCATACCACCTTCAAGGAATGTCAATAAACTCACTTTGGTATGGCATCGTGTGTGCTCCTCATTGCAAATGAGATCTAGGCAGGGAGTAACAAGATGCAGCATGCCTGCACACTCGCTGCTTGCAAACAGTACAGCAGCAGAGAAGGCTACCAGCCTCTATGAAAAACAGTCCCCAGGAAACACAATATTCATCAAGAAAGCACAGTATGTACTTACAAATCCATAAATAAAGGAACAGCTTTGGTAACAAGTCCCCTGTATATGCCTGTTAGAACTATACACGAACCACACATGCTTCGTTTTGTGA